TTCAAATGAAATTAATCGTGAAATTTTTGGAGGAGAGAAAAGTTTAATCAATAGCATGTATCTTAACCATCCTAAAAAAGAAGGTTGTGAAACAAAATTGTTATTGTTATTATTATTATAATTATTATTATTATTATTGTTGTTGTTAATAGCATCTTCATCGATAAAATCATCATTGATAATATCGCTTTTAACGATATCTGCATTTTTGTAATTTAGAAATTGCAATTCAACAAGATCATTAGCTTTTCCTAGCGTGCTGAAATCATCCATAACGGATTTGTTGTGAGATCGATGAGGATAATGAGACTCATAAGAGTTAACAATGGAGATCCACCAGTGCAGTTTAATATCTTGGAAAGTACGAGCAACGGCAATATCTTGGGAAAATACCAAAGCATTCAATAATCCTAAGATGTGAAAGATTAGATAAACAAAATATTCAAAGAAATAGTCAAATAGTAATAAAAAAGAATATGATTTATATATACACCTTGAATTGACATGCCAACGAAGCAAAGTAAAAAAAGGGGATAAGAGACCACACGATTAATATAGGCGTATGTTTCAACGAAAGAGCTAAAAAATTGAGCTACCAATGGCACCACAGGATACAACACGACCCTTCTGACAACCGAAAAAATCACAGAATCATTAATTAAGGTAGGATGACCAGACAACTGAGAAGTCGAAGAATAACCCAATACATCAAAATTCTTGGTCACAAATCTGAGTTTTTTAATGACCATAATAATAACAGCTGCACAGTATAATATAGATAAATCTATCCAACCGAAAAAAGTAACCCATTGCCATATTATATTATGTCTTTCACCCGAATCACGATACCAACAAACACTGTAATAAATATTAATAAATATTAATAAATATGAATGTATGAAATAAATGTTATAAGTTGACAATAAGGAAATAAATATGAAACATAATAAATATATTGAATATACATTTCTTACAGAAAAGTATCTGATCTATCTTAAATTATCCAAGTTAAAATAAAACTTACAACCTTTAGTTAAAAGCGTAAATGGCAATTAAAACACTCAATATTATCTTTAACTCAGATAATTTAAGATTACTTTGTAGAGAACTTATCTATACATTATAAAATATATCATACCCTTCAGGATAATCATAACCATACATTTATATATGAAAAATTTTTAGGATTAAGTTTCGATTAGAATGTTTATTTATAAAAATTTTTTAAAAATCTA